CTTACAGACCTATGACGAGTTTGATGTCTTTGACCAGTTTGTTCCTGCTTGGTTGACGTCGGGTCTTCCAGAGGCGGAATTACACTCAGGCTGCATGGGATATCAAAATGTTGCTTTGGGAAATCTGCTAGATAGTATTTTATGTGGGATAGGGTGAGCTTCCTGAAAAGCTTTTAGATAATGCCGTATTTAATTACTCCCCTCTTGCCTCTTAACTCTGTTGGTTTTTTTAGCTCATTACACAACACTGGACTGAACAAAACAAGAAGCCTCATTGATTCCTTGAAGTGATTTTTGGGTACTGGGCAAAACAACTTAGGCATCTAGTACTGTCCAAATTGCTGATAAGTTGAAGTGCTTTGTTGGGTAAAGTTGCACAACTGAAAAACAGATGAAATGTACAGATTATCTTGGGTTTGGGATTTTATCTTTGGTTCAGGGGTCAAAGCAGAGTTCCAATAGCAAATTATTGAAATATTTGAATAGTGAAGTATTTCTGTGATTTTTTTTTTTTTTTTTAAGTTTACCGCTGTGAAGAGACTGTTCACTTTCATTACAAATTACAGGGCAGATACCCAAACTCTTGCCAAGTCAAAAGGATGTTGTCCAGTTTGTTTTATTGTTAAGAATTCCTAACTGTTAAAAAAAAAAAAGTTATTAACTATTAACTTCCTTAAGAATATTTGAATAAGATTCAATGAGTAAGGAAAATCATAGTAGTAGTATAATTCTTGTTGAGACATATAGCCTTTTTTTCTTTCCTTGTTTTTATTTACTTTTGTTTTTATTTTTGAGATAGAGTCTTGCTCTGTCACCCAGGCTGGAGTGCAGTGATGCAGTCATAGCTGATTGCAGCTTCCACCACCTGGGCTCGAGTGATCCTTTTGCCTCCGCCTCCCAAGTAGCTAGGAGTACAGGTGCACACCCCCACACCCGGCTCATTATTTTATTTCTTGTAGAGATGGAGTTTCACTTTGTTGGCCAGGCTGGTCACTGGCTAACTTATTTTTTGTAGAGATTGAGTTTTGCTTTGTTGCCCAGGCTGGTCACAAACTCTTTTTTTCTTTTTTTAAATAAATCTTTAACCATAATGTACTTGCTTTCCTGTTTCAAGAGTGCTCTTAAGGCCTTCATGAAGTGTCACTGCCTCATAATAATGTTTTGAATAGCTATATAACTTGTGTGTACAAAAAGACAACTTTTTTTTTTTTTTTTAAGAAGAATGTCAGTGACTCTTGTTGGCCTGGTCTGGATTTCAGCCTCAGATTGGCCTGGTCTGGATTCCTTTCAATAATGAATGAAAGGCTTTGAGGAAAGAATGTAAATATAATGAAATATGAAAAGAGTTCCATGTGGGACTTGAAAAGTTAGGGGGGAAATTGAGGAGAAATACTCTTCATTTTCCCTCCCCATGTCCCAAAGCTCCTCTCTTCCCCTCATTGCAAGAGAATGAGCAAGTGATTATAAAACTGTAAAGATGATGCAACATACATTAATGAATGTAATCACAATGATTAAACCACCCTTCACAATCTGTTACATTAGAGAATGGAGAAGTACTCACAGAGGTTTCTCTGAGTCTCTTAGTCATTCCCAAAAACCCAAACCAGAAAGTATCGCATGTCGTTGCATAGTTTGTACAAATTGGCATAAGGAACAGCTCTTACTTAGTTTGTAGTCTAAATCATAGAGAAGCTTCCAGCTTTTAGTTTTCAAGCTTGATTGTTAGGAAGAGAATTCACTCTGTGGTTTTCTACTTTGTATTGCTTGGACAGCACAAACTTCTTATCTAGCACTGCTTCCTTTCCAAGTAAAACCGGACTTTGTGAGAGTTGGTAGAGTTAGAACGCTAAGAAATTCTGAGTTTGTAAATCAGGAACGAATCAGGTGATGGGAAAAAGACATGTTGTTCATCTGTTGAGGAAGACAGATTTGCTCTTTTATGTGTTACTCAAAAGATTAATATGTAGCCTCTTAATTAATGCCCATGTGTATAACTTTCTCTGCAGCACTCTGTATTTCCATAGATGATATTTTTGAAAGAAAATTACTGAGTGAAAGGAAATTACCCTTTTAAGGCTCTTAATACCTATTGTCAAATTATTCTCCAGAACGTTCACTGAAGCACTGCTTGTAATAACAAAGTATTAGAAACAATCATCTCAGTAGTGGTTAACCATTGCCATTTAGATAATGGTGAAAGTACGATATATCCTTCTAAAAGATGAGATGCAGTGCAGTTGTTCAGAAGAATTAATGTCAGTGTGTATTGATAGGGAAGACATCTGAAAAACGACTTACAGATTATGTAAGTATGTGTGTATGGTACACTTTCATTTCTTTATAAAAACAAAAGCGAAAACAGACCTATATTTCATTGAAAAAAAAAAAAAAAACTCTGAAAATCTCCATGTGAAACTCAAAAGTGACTCTTTTGGGTGTAGGAATGGGAGGTCAGGAGAATTGGTGATTGTAAATCTTATGTACTGATTGTTTACATTTTCTAAGAACGCGTTTTTGCAGTAGGGAATGGTTTTTATATGATACAGGATATAATTATAGTAGCTGAAACTTTCTTAGGGAGCTTTCTTATTGTTCTACGTGCTTTAGTCATTTAATCCTCCTGACAAAGTCTTTGAGGTAGATACAGTTATCTGTTATATAGATGGGAAAACTGAGGCTGTAAGTACCCTGTGCAGGGTTGACAGCTGTGACTGAGAGTGTGAGCCTGGCTTCAGTTTCTACCCCTGACCACAGTAGACCAGCATATGGCAAGTACAAATGGTGCCTTAAGTAGAAATGCTGTCAGTTATGCCACAGGGTGTGGAGGCCACAGCAGAGATCACTTTTACTGAGCTTTTCTAGGTATGTGTCTCTGTTCAGGTTTCTAAAGTATATTTTAGATTATGATGGCTTATGCTTTTTTTTTTTTTTTTTTTTGAGACGGAGTTTCGTTGTTGTTACCCAGGCTGGAGTGCAACGGCGCGATTTTGGCTCACTGCAACCTCTACCTCCTGGGTTCAAGCAATTCTCCTGCCTCAGCCTCCTGAGTAGCTGGGATTACAGGCGTGCGCCAGCATGCCTAGCTAATTTTTTGTATTTTTAGTAGAGACGGGGTTTTACCATGTTGACCAGGATGGTCTCAATCTCTTGACCTTGTGATCCACCCGCCTCGGCCTCCCAAAGTGCTGGGATTACAGGCTTGTGCCACCGCGCCCGGCCTGGCTTATGCATTTTTAATGAAGAAAATAGAATCCAGACATTGATTTGAAAGTCCTTCATAAAAGTAAAAACCAGGCTGGGAGCAGTGGCTCATACCTATAACCCCAGCCCTTTGGGAGGCTGAGGTGGGAGGATTGCTGAAGTCCAGGAGTTTGAGACTGACCTGGGCAATGTAGGAAGACCCCATTTCTACCAAAAAAATAAATAAATAAGTTAGCGGGGCATGGTTGCATGTGCCCTATAGTCCCAGCTTCTTGGGAGACAGAGGTGGGAGGCTTGCTTGGGCCCAGGAGTCAGGCTGTGGTGAGCTGTGATTGTGCCACTGTACTTTCAGCCTGGGTAACAATGCAAGACTGTCTCAAAAAAAAGGAAAAGAAAAACAAGTAAGGACCAGAAAACCTGGTATTTTTTGTTACACCCTTTTTTCTCTTTGATCATCTACTTCAAATGAGTATTTATTGTATTTTAGGGAAGACTGGCTTCCACAGAGACCCATCTGGAACTCCTGGTACCTTAGATCTGCCTCTGTCAGAGCAGCTCTGCATTTTGGTTTGTTTTATTGTGTGCATTGGGCTTCTACACAAGAAGAACTGCTCCCATTGGTTTAAAAATAAGTTTGAAAATCCTAGAAGCAGTAGGAGTCAGAAAAAAACCTGTTTTTCATATGCATATTCTCTCCCCCACCCCCTTTCTCTCCAGTTGAAATATTTTGCAGAGCTCTAAATTTAGGGATGCTTTTGGCATATTTCTTATACACTCCAGAGGCACTCGAGTGAGTTCAATTATCTTCAGTCTTAGGTCTCTCTTAGCTTTGCTAGTTTTAATTGCTAATCCATTTTGAGTTCTCTCTGGTCTGTGTCCATTTTATGTGTGTATAGAATGAGGCCACGGAGATGTTGTAGAACTGTGTCGTTTGGCAGCAGAGTCCTAAGGAATCGGTGGTGATTATGGGATGTTGGTAGCCGCTGGGGCTGCCTCAGATGGAAAGCAAAGGGTTCTAAGTATAAATGTAAATTCTACTGTATAACTGATGTCTTCCATTTACCAGCACTTGATACTACTAAATCCTCACAGCAACCCTGTGTTATTAATATCTCTGTTTTACAAATGAGGAGGCTGAAGCTGAGGTCACACAGGTAGACAAGAAGCGATGGGTTCAGATTCCCAGCCATGTCTACCTGAGAGCTTTCCTTCTTACAAGGGTGATGTTGATTTCACTCTGGATCTGGTATAGCCATCGCCACATTTAGAGTGCATTTTAGAATTTGAGCCAGTTTTGATGATTCCTTCATCTTACTGACAGAACTCCTTGTTTATTCCTGGAACTCTCTAATGCTTCTGCTGGGAGTTTAGAGGGATGGCCCCACCAAGCTGCTTGGTTACATTTTCTAAAACAAAATTTATCGTAAGAAATGGAGACTGGGACGGGTGGCTCACACCTGTAATCCCAGCACTTTGGGAGGCCAAGGTGAGCAGATCACGAGGTCAGGAGTTCAAAATTAGCCTGGTCAACATGGTGAAAGCCCATCTCTACTAAAAATACAAAAATGAGCTGGACGTCGTGGTGCATGCCTGTAATCCCAGCTACTGGGGAGGCTGAGGAAAGGAGAATCGCTTGAACCAAGACTCAGAAGGAAGAGATTGCAGTGAGCCAAGATCGCACCACTGCACTCTAGCCTGGGCTGCAGAGCCAGACTCCATCTCAAAAAAAAAAAAAAGGAAATTATTAACAAAGTATACCACTGTCTCTCTTTGCTGTGAAGTTGGTTATGGCTACGGTTAACAATTATTTCAATTCTTTTACTTATTTTCTTACTGTTCTTTTGTAGAGACAGGGTCTTGTCATGTTGTCAAGGCAGGTGTAAAACTCCCGCACTCAAGCAATCCTGGTGCCTTAGCCTTCCAGAGTGCTGGGATTACCTGTGTGAGCCACTGTACCTGGCCTCACCTCTTGTTAAAATTAAAACGCCTTAATACTTTTAGCAGACTTATTGGGCCAATATTTTCAAGACCTATGCAGAATTACCAGTGCCACTTCCCCTTTTTCTGTGGCTCCACCCCTTCAACTTTTTGCCCAAGAAAACATTAGTGTTTGCCTGTAGCTAATATGCAGTTGTTTCTGCCCCCAAATCAACAGGGCTTAATGAAAACTCTAGAAAGTAGGAACTCGTGGGAGAGAAGAGAAAAAAAGACAAGTTCACAAGGTATGTTTAGTGTATAAAAAAGGAGAACGACTAGAAAGCACAGATATAAAGGAAATGAAGAAACCAATCAGTGAGATAGAGCTAAAGCTTTTCTCTGAATTTTTAGCATTATCACCTGGTTTTGTTAACCAGCTGCGTTAATTTTATGCTCCTGATTTGTGCACAAATTGAAATTCTTGCTACTGGATTTAAGTTCCCTCTCTAGGAGTTTCTCCGTTGTTTGCACTAAGGAGGATATAGTTGCTAATTTACTTAGATGACCTTTTCTGAAATTTCTAATTGATAATACTTATTGTTTCATTTATGAATCAGATAAAGCTGAGTAGCTTAGGTAGACTATGAAGAAAGTGTCTCTGTGTGTGTATGTATACACCAACTGAAATGTTAAAGGTGGCCGGGCGCGGTGGCTCAAGCCTGTAATCCCAGCACTTTGGGAGGCCGAGGCGGGTAGATCACGAGGTCAAGAGATCGAGACCATCCTGGTCAACACGGTGAAACCCCGTCTCTACTAAAAATACAAAAAATTAGCTGGGCATGGTGGCGCGTGCCTATAATCCCAGCTACTCAGGAGGCTGAGGCAGGAGAATTGCCTGAACTCAGGAGGCGGAGGTTGTGGTGAGCCGAGATCGCGCCATTGCACTCCAGCCTGGGTAACAAGAGCGAAACTCCATCTCAAAAAAAAAAAAAAAAAGTTAAAGGTAAGTAGCCTGTCTAGTAAAAAAGTAGCTATTTTTTTTGAAAAGCAACCTCACAGTTTTCAGTAAAGTGTTATTATGAAGTAAGGTTTAACAAAAGAGAAAATTGGCCGAAAAACACATTTTCCAAGATGTTTTAGAGTTTCAGTTTCTTCTCAGCTGATGGCATGAGCTATTTCAGGAACAGAACTAAATAGATGTTTACACTTTTATTACTCTTTATTTTCTTCAGAATGCTTTTGCATTTCGTTTGAGGAGAGTCAGAATTCTTATCTGGATTCACCATATTCACATCGGTGTTTACGTGACAGATTTCAGTTCTGCTGTGGTTAACTTATCTGACTTGTCCAACAGGTTCCTGGGTGGAGCTCCCCATGAATAGCAGCAATGGCAATGATAATGGCAATGGGAAAAATGGGGGGCTAGAACACGTACCTTCCTCATCCTCCATTCACAATGGAGACATGGAGAAGATTCTTTTGGATGCACAGCATGAATCAGGACAGAGTAGTTCAAGAGGCAGTTCTCACTGTGACAGGTAAGTGAGATCCATGTTTTGGTGGAATTCAGGACACAGGTGGGTTACAGGGCTCATTATCGCTAGGAAAAATTTATTTGCTTAAATCTTCACTTGGCGAGGCCGAGCACGGTGGCTCAAGCCTGTAATCCCAGCACTTTGGGAGGCCGAGGCGGGCAGATCACGAGATCAAGAGATCGAGACCGTCCTGGTCAGCATGGTGAAACTCTGTCTCTACTAAAAATACAAAAAAGTAGCTGGGCATGGTGGCACATGCCTGTAATCCGAGCTACTCAGGAGACTGAGGCAGGAGAATTGCCTGAACCCAGGAGGCGGAGGTTGCGGTGAGCCGAGATCGCGCCATTGCACTCCAGCCTGGGTAACAAGAGCGAAACTCCGTCTCAAAAAAAAAAAAAAAAAATCTTCACTTAGCAAAAATGCCTCCTGATATATTGCAGTGTAATATATATTCCACAGTTACATATGTTGTGTTTATATCAGACAGCTAATTGACAGGTGTTCCAGTGCCCACGGTTTTTCTCCAGATTGTCACTTTTCTTAATCAGATTACAGTATTTTTAGCAGTTTATCAGTTTAAAACTCAGTGGCATCAATACTAATTCATAGAATTAATCTGACTTTCTCCCATTTTCCTTTGAGTCCCTCTTTTACAGATCACAGACTGCCTTGAATTAGTTACCTCTGTATATATCTGTCTTCCCTTCTAGATCTTGAAGCTTCAAAGGGCAGGGGCCATGTTTCATCTTTATTAGCTTCACAGTAATGGTGCTGGCACGTAGTAGACACCAAGTAAATGTTTGACTCATAGGACAGGTTGATTCACATTATAGCAATATTTGCACAGTTGGAAGCGCCAACCAAGGTCTATAAAGGTAGTTTTGAAGCCCCTTCTCCTTTCTCAGAGATGTTTTGTTTCAGACCATTTTTCTGTATTTGACCCGAGGAAACTAATTCCGTGGATTAAAGACTGCTTATGGTGAAAGAGTAAGATTACAGTGAGATATATGTGTGGAATGAAACCAGGTTATTATGTTTTAGTGTAAGCTTTTCAGAAGGGCTGAATGTTCAATGACATTTACAAAATTCTTGTTTCAGTAACAGCTACACTGTTAGCATTTTGGGGCACCGGATGACCTTCTGGGTAGTTGTTAACTGATGTTAACCATTTAGCAAACACACAGGAAGCAGATTAAGGAAACGTTGAGGAACGTAAACAGTGATTATCTTTAGGGATGCAGTATGGGTATTTTTCTTCTTAACATTTGTGTATTTGGTAAAAATTGTGTATATTGCACATATTATTACTTACCAGAAGAAGTGAAAAGGAGAAATGAGTTAAATTATATTCCAACTTCCTGAGTGGCTTATGATCCACTAATGTTGCCAAGGCAGCTGGGGGACTGGTTTTTTGGCTCTGTGGCACACTATGCACCCCCGCCACCCCCATGTCATCCCTGACTTGTCCCTGTGCTTCTTAGAGCCTGGGATGGCTCTTGTCATAAGCAGAACACAGCAGATGGCTCTCTTCTGAACAGCTTGCCCTTGATTCCAGTAGCTAGAGCATTAGTCTGTCTTTCCGAATGAAGATTTATGTTTATATTATGGAACTTGCTGATGGGTTTCTGAAGTTTTCTGCTTGTTATGGCCTGTCAGCAAGGCTTTCACTCTACATTCCAGTGCATGGGCCTTGATCATTGATACCACAGTGTCCATTAGCCTGTTGTTCACATGGTGGTGTCATTGAGCAAAGAAAAGTCACCTGCTTACCTGTCTGTTCATCCTGTTTCATTTATAGTGCAGTTACACATGTGACTAAATATGCGTCACGCTCCCATGATCGTGTGTAGGTTGCGAAAGCATGTGAAAGGAGGCATGGCAAGTGCTTTTGAACACTTACCTACCCCTCATCTTATTTATCTCCAGGCCCTAGATTCACGGTCATCTTTCAGAGAATGCCTAGAACTCGAGTGTGCAACAGTACTCTTCTGGGATGTCTGACTAACACGCTTTACCATTGAAGAGTGTCGTCAAAAATCATGTCATTTGAATTGCCATGAGTCTCTGTATTTGAAGTCATTGGGAAGTGTTTCTTGTTGGGGGGAAAGTTTTAGGGTTGTTGGATATCAGTCCTAGAGCTGATTTATGAGTCTTTTTAACTGAAAAATTATTCCATAGAAGTATTTGTACTGCTGCAGGTGTTGTTAGCTGGGAACCCAGTGTGTTCTGCTTTGCGTTCCACCCTGTTGCAGGTGTTTTCGCCTCAACGGCATCCTAGATTCACCCAGGGAGCTTTTAAAAGTGCCAGCACATGGACTGCATCTCAAGAATTTCTCATTTTGGTTGACAGGGCAGGGTAGAGACATAACAATATTTTAAAAGCTCCCCAGCCGATTCTAGTATGTGCCATGGGTGAAGCTCTAATGCATTCCAAATTATTTTAGGAGGAATAAACACTTTAGTGAAAAGGTTGGTGCCAGCATGAAGAAGCATACAGAAGTCGAGTAATGCTTCCATAGGATTCTTGACTTTGTCACCCTGCCTGCCTTGACCTGGTCAAGGCTGTGTAAGGCTGACCCTTAACTTAATGTGTAGCTGTGAAGCTAACGGTGTTAGGATCACAAAGATAGTCAACTGAGGCCAGTAGAAGTGCCCAGTTCTGGTTGACTCTTGTGCTAGTTCAAGACAGAAATTTCCGAAACATATATGATGTTTGATATAGAACCAGCTTTTCCCTTTTCTTGTCCCTATTTAAGAATCCCCTATGTCAATTATACCAGTCTAAAAAACTCCTAGGCCTAATTTGTCTGATAAATTTCTGATGATCTTACTTATTTCTGAGTCAGTCTCACCAGCATCTCTGTACGTTAATTAACATTGTAAACATACATACTCTTGGTAACTTCAATAGTTAATATCTATTCCTTTCAGCAAGTTAAGCCCCAAATATTTTTTATTTCTATTTTAAATTTTTGGGGGACGGTATGTGTATGTAGTGAGGGATTCAGTGACTTTCAGTGTTACACAAGGAATCATTGATAAACCTAAGAACTTAGTTAGCACATTCTGTTCGTCTCTTATATCAAGTACAGTTTGTGATTATGCGGTTTTTGTGTAAAAACTTACCTATAAATTTTTATAGTTCTAAAAATATATTCTCTACAGTCAGAAAGATTTTATATTCATATATAAGCTTATATAATTCACTATCAAATATCTCAAAGCAGATATTTCTGAAATAAGTAAAATAGTGGTTATCAAAGTTGTTGGTCTTTATACACTTTTACATTCTTAAAAATAATTAGGGACCCCAAAGGACTCGCTTGTGGGTTTATATATTTTGATATTTAGTATATTAGAAACTAAAACTGAGAAAGTACATATTCAAAATTAATACATTCTAACATAAGTTTTTTTAGTGAAAATAACTATCTTCTGTAAGTCCGCCCAAGTTAATAAGAATAGTGGCATTGTTTTACACGTTTACAAGTCTCTGATACCAAGCCTATTAGGAAACAGCTGGCTCTCATCCGCTTCTGCGTTCTAACTGTTGTACTATCACACATCATGTAGCCTTCGGAAAATTCCATTAGACACTCATGGGAGAATGAGAATGAAAAAGGCAAACAAATCCTACTAGTATTACAAAAGGAGCTCTAACCTCAAAGACCCTCTGTAAACATCTTTGAGAACTACCTTATGCACTGTGAAAACTATGGATGGTGAATTATTTAATAAGAGAACTTTGAGAAAAGGAACTCTAAAGTTCCCGAATTTGAAGATTATTTTACCTTTAATGGACCAAAGAGTAGATATAAGAAAATGTGACAGTTTGTGTCTATAGGTAGTATTTCCTTTGCACATTTTTCATTTTGAAGGAATTCATTACTACTGAAAAAAGGCAGAACATTCTGGGTGTAAGAATGCTCAATTTCGTTTGGTCCTTTAATATTACATAAAATTTTCTTGTATGGCGTTATGGCAAATTTTCTGATTTGCTTTTTCGAAGCCATACTGCTATAATTTTTAATTTTCTTATTTCTGGTAGAGACTAAGTCACTTGACAAAATGAGAATTAAACGTAATAGCTAAATTTTTTCTCTTCTAGCCCTTCGCCACAAGAAGATGGGCAGATCATGTTTGACGTGGAAATGCACACCAGCAGGGACCATAGCTCTCAGGTATGTGGGGGGGATTCTGATTTACAGTGAACAAGAAAGATGCACATTCTCTAAGTGTGTTTTGCTAAAATATATTAAAGAAAAAGAAGACTTTTAGGAATAGTTTGAAGCTGTTACTGAATTTCTGATTTTGGAATTTATTTAGGATTATATAGTTCTTGCCACACTCCTTTACAACTAAGGATTTTGGACCCTGTCATTCTAAAAGAATTGGAAAATTCTTGTCCATAATGAAGCATGCCAATATGCCATGCTAGTTTCTTTTTTTTTTTCTTTTTTTCTTTTTTTTAATTGAGATGGAATCTTGCTCTGTCACCCAGGCTGGAGTGCAGTGGTGTGATCTCGGCTCACTGCAGCCTCTACCTCCTGGGTTCAAGCGATTCTTCCGCCTCAACCTCCTGAGTAGCTGGAACTACAGGTGCGCACCACCGTGCCCAGCTAATGTTTGTATTTTTAGTAGAGACGGGGTTTTACCATATTGTTCAGGCTAGTCTCAAACTCCTCACCTTGTGATCCAGCAGCCTTGGCCACCCGAAGTGCTGGGATTATAGGCACGAGCCACCATACCTGACCTACAGGCTAGTTTCTTGAGTTTCTAAATAGAAAAAACTGAGACAGAGGCTTTAAGACCACAGAATAAATGAAAATGAAGGTTGTGTTACAACTAGGTGTGAAGACTTTTTTTGTGTGCCTGAAACCAAAGCAGTGACTTTTGAGATAAATTTCCAGAGGCAGACATAAAATTTATCTAAATTATGCAGGATTCCCCAAAGATAAATATAGTTTACTAGGAGTTGACATTGTTCGGAACATAGATGGATATAGTATTACAATCTTACAAATGTTTGTATTATGAAACTTAAAATATGGAAAGTATGTAATTGTTGCTAATGATTTAGAATACTCATAGCCAGCCTTTAACTTTATTGGTAGGTAAGATTACCTAAAAGTGAGGACCAGAACCATTGTCTTTTTCTTCTCTATTTCAGTTGCTTGAAAAATAATGAATCTTCAAATGAGTTGCAACAGAAACCTCGTTCTGTGGGGTTCTCACGGTGCTGTGTCCGTGTCCCTTGGCACTAGAAATACTCTGTGTATCTTAGGTCCATCCAGTATTGTTTCTGAAGGCCACAGAATTCTTCATACTGACTATGCTCTGTTTTTGCTTTTCTCTGAAATACTGAAAATGTATGGATTCACACAAATTTATTTTATGATGAGCTGTATACTTACAGAGAAGCTCACAATAGCAGGCTGTCGTGTAGTAAGATGATCTGATAGGAGCATTTGAGTTGCTGGCTTCTGCCTCTCAATTTGGCCACGTGCAGTAAGCTCTAGCTGATGTAGAAGAAAGGATATAAAGTCTCCTTGGCAGAAAGTGTTTCAAGGAATCCAAGAGAGAAATCAAATTCTTTGCTGTGGTCTTTCCTGAGGAGGATTTCTTCAGTCCATATATCACCTTTTACACAGAAACCTTAAAGTTTAGATTAGCATTTTCCAAAATGTGTTTTCAAGAATGTTTTTTCAAAGGGAAGTTCCATAGGACAGTCCTGAAGTCAAATAAATGGAAAGGAATGCAGCCCCAGGTTCCCCACACTCTCACCCTAGTAGTCACATGAGTACTTCTGACCGTTCCTGCAGTAAAGAAATTGTTACAGTTTAAGCTGGGCATGGTGGCACTTGCCTGTAGTCTCAGCTGCTTGGGAGGTGGAGGTGGGAGGATCCCTTGAGCCCCGGGAGTTTTGAGTCCAGCCTGGGCAACATAGCAAGACCTTCTGTTTCGAAGAAAAAAAGAAATGGGTTTAATTAAACCAAGTATTTACGAAGCTTATCTGACCTTAGACTTTCTTCTTCCTCTCGGCATACATTTTTCCCTTAAGAACTTAGGAACCCTGTGGAGCACTTTGGCAAATGCTTTCCTGGCTCATGGAGTTGCAGATGTACAAGTAGGCTTGGCTGAATATTTACACGGAATTCTAGAGCTGAATGCATCTACCCTAGAATTCCAAAGAATTATTGAAATTCAGGAAAGAAAATGTCAGGTTTTTGGCCTTTGGTAGGTTTGCCAGTGTTGATCCCTTCACAGGAACATATTCCTGAAAGAACATGGGCTGTCATCAAGAGGAGGTACTTTATGTTGACAATTAGATTCAGTCAGTTCTCTTTCAACAAAGGGAAGAATTTGGAAAGGCAGTCTCACTCCTATGAGAGACATTATAACAGTTGAGTAAGACTTAATAAGGGAGCTGTCAGTAGGTATAGTTTAAACTTTCAAAAAGCCTTTTACATTGCCTTTTTAAAATGGAAGAAAGAGTAATTTAAAAATTAATTACTTTAGGATTTAGGAAAATAGATTTTCTTCATGAATTAGAAGAAAGAAGTTTATGGTTAGGAAACTTAAAAAGGCAGTTAACAAATGACTGTTATTGTGCTTGATCTTATTGAATGTTTTTATATATGTTTATAAGGAATATATGGCCTTTTCAAGCTTTTCCAGGATGAGGAAGCAAAGTCACTAACAATAACTAGATATGTTTTAGGTGCTTGATTTCTTTTTTAAAATGTTTCTCTCTCTCTCTCTCTCTCTCTCTCTCTCTCTCTCTCTCTCTCTCTTTCTTTTCATTTGAGACAGGATCTCAGGGTCTTGCCTTGTCACCCAGAATGGAGTGCAGTGGTGCAGTCATAGCTCACTGCAGACTCTGATTCCCAGCTCAAGCAGTCCTTCTGCCTCAGCCTCCCTAGTAGCTGGGACAACAGGCACACGTTACCATGCCCAGTTAATTTTTAAATTTTTTTGTATAGACAAGAGTCTCGATATCTTAACCAGGCCAGTCTCAAACTCCTGGCCTCAAATGATCCTCGTACGTCGGCCTCCCAAAGTGTTGGAATTAAAGGCATGAGTTACTACTTCCAGCTCTCTTTTAATGTTCTAAATCTAGTGAAAGCAGTGATATTATCCCCATGGACAAATGGAAAAAGTGAGGCTTTGTACTAATGACTTATCTAAGATCACAAAGCAATTCAGTGTTAGAGCCAGGACTGAAAGCAGGTCTGAGTCTGTGGCCCTTGTTCTTTCTACTAAAGAAAGTAAATAAATTCAATTGATTACAGGAGAGTGCACAAAGCCATGAGGATGAACTGAAAAATGTCTGCTGAGTCATGGTATGGGAAGCCTAAGGTAGTGTGCACTTAGAAAAAGATCATGAGACTTTTGGGATGATCATCCTCAAGAGTCTCAGTTCTGTATCAGAAAATAGACTCTAGATTGTTTCTTCACTTGATCTTAGCTTAGCCAAAACTCTGAGAAACAATATAGATTATTTCTTGAAGATACTCTGCATTGTGTTTCTGGGACCAAAAATGCCAGCACAATGCTGGGTGTTATTGAAAAATGATCCAGACTGAAAATGTCCTCCTTTTCCTCTTTTGTAAAACTGTGATATATATCTGTTCATAAGTCATGGTATACAGTTTAACTATCCATATTTAGAGAACAAAGTGACCTTGAGGTGGACCAGAGAAGGAGAACTTAAATGATTAGAAAATAACTCCATGTGAGATAATAGGCTAGAATGATCAGAATCGTCTTTGTTTTTGTTTTTTTGTTTTTTGTTTTTGAGACAGAGTCTCACTCTGTCACCAGGCTGAAGGGCAGTGGCATGATTGTGGCTCACTGCAACCTCTGCCTCCCAGGTTCAAGCAGTTCTCCTGCCTCAGTTGCCAAGTAGGTAGGATTACAGGTGTGCACCAAAACACCTGGCTAATTTTTGTATTTTTAGTAGAGATGGGGTTTTGCCATGTTGGCCAGCCTGGTCTCAGCTCCCGACCTCAAGTGATCCACACACCTTGGCCTCCCAAATTGCTGGGATTACAGGTGTGAGCCACCGTGCCCAGCCAGAATCTTCTTTGAATAGATGTAGGTATAGAGAGAGGATTATTGATTTTAAAAGCCCAAAGCTTATATAATTAGATTAAGAGCATTTTTACCGTATTCTGGACTTCCAGGAATTGGAAGGCAGTTTAAAACCTGAAAGTGGCGATTTTAAGATTAATAAATGGAAGCACAGAGCAGTAGTAAATGAGGAAAGCTTACCACTCTCAAAGTGTTAGGATAAGTTGAGAAACTTATCTGGAGTTCTTTCTTGTTTTGTTTTCTTTTTAAAACACTTGTCCAAAGATAACTGCTTCACTCCGCTGAGAAAATTCTATCCTCTTGAAAAAAAAAACTAGAGCGTAAAATCTTGCTGCGTTTTCATTCTGTCAGAAATTACGAAATACTAACTTGTTAAATCTTTAAGCAGCCTCACAGAGAGACCTGCTAGGCCAAAGCAGGAAGCTAAACAGAAGCGACCTGCAGTGTATTGAGTGTAGTCAGATACTGTGTGCCCACCAACCGAGCTGCAAGGAAAGTTTAACAATTGATTGTTTTTGATTTGGGATGATTTCAGTGCTACTCCAAAGAGCCAACTCATGATTCTGAGTAATCTCAGTAGCCAGTGGAAAGAGCTTAATCCTAAATGCTACATTGTGTCATTCTGTGGAATTTGCCAAGTTCAGCAGAACTAGATAAGAATGGTACTAACAAGAGCAGCAGACACACACAGGGGTTTACTTTGCCCTCTCTGAAGCTCCTGTCTTAGGGTAGCTATTTCACAAAGAACTAGACCTGTCAAAAAAGAGTGATGTGAATATGCCAGACTCTGCATTTCTTAGCTGCTTACTGACAGAGTGACACCTCTGGTCAAAGAGTGAATCCTAGTCAAACAAAATAAAACGTCAGCATGTTTCATTTGAGACCCTTGGGTTTGGGGTCATAGCATGACATTTCCTAAAACGGAATATGGCCAGGTACCATGGCTCATACCTGTAATCCCAGCACTTCGGGAAGCTGAGGTGTGTGGATTACTTGAGGTCAGGAGTTTGAGACCAGCCTGGTCAACATGGTGAAACCCCGTTTCTACTAAAAATATAAAATTTGGCCAGGTGTGGTGGTGGGCGCCTGTAATCCCAGCTACTCTGGAAGCTGAGGGAGGAGAATCGCTTGAACCCAGGAGGCAGAGGGTGAAGTGAGCCGAGATCACGCCGCTGCACTCCAGCCTGAGACTCTGTCTCAAAAAAAACCTGAATAAATAATACAGTATCATTTTTATGATTTTTTTCTTCCCTTTGGTTCTTTTAAAAGGGGGGCATTTGGAAATTTTAATTGTTCTTGGCCTAAAACTTTAGGTTATCATTAGCAATTTTTAAAAATCACATTTTTCATTTTATTTGATATGACAAATGTTAAATTCTGACTTGACTTATTATAGATTATTCCAAAAAACTTGTCTAACTTGGTTTTAAAACCTTGGAAAATGTTTGTATAGCAATTTGTCCTAAAAATACAATTTCCTCCCAGAGAGTAAAACCTCGTGCTTAACAGCAGGGCCTCTCAACACGTGTTTTGGGGTTTGAATACTGCCCCTGCCATGTATTGGGTGTGAAACCTTAGGCAATTATTTACTCTATGTCTCAGTCTCCTCATCTATTAAATGGGATTTTTAGTAATTCCTGTTTTTGCAGGGTTGTTGTTACAAGGTAAAAGTTAATGCATGTGGCTGGGCGCAGTGTCTCATACCTGTAATCCCAGCATTTTGAGAGCCTAAGGCAGGGAAGATGCCTTAGACCTAGGAGTTCAAGACCAGGCTGGGCAACACAGTGAAACACTGTCTCTTTAAAAAATATGAAAATTAGCTGGTTGTGGTGACACACCTGTAGTCCCAGTTATTTGGGAGGCTGAATGGGAGGATTAATTGAGCCCAGGAGTTCGAGGTTGCAGTGAGCTATGATTGTACTCTGGCCTGGGTGACAGAGGAGACCCTGTCTTCGGAAAATAAAACAGGTTAATGTATGTAACACACTTGGAATAATATTTGTCGCTTTAAGTGCTCAGTAAATACTATTGTTTGTTTCCTCATCACGTCTCTCACTTATTTTTGTTTTACTTCTCATCACTTTATTTTTAGCATATCCTTTTAAGTATATTTCCTTTTATTTTTTTAAATTAAGAAATTTTGTTTTTCTGAGACGGAGTCTGTCACCCAGGCTGGAGTGTAGTGGTTGGATCTCAGCTCACTGCAGCCTCCACCCCAAAAGTTCAAATGATTCTTCTGCCTTAGCCTCCCAAGTAGATGGGATTAAACACGGCTAATTTTTGTATGTTTTTAGTAAAGATGAGGTTTCACCATGTTGGCCAGGCTGGTCTCCATCTCCTCACCTCAAGTGATCTGCCCACCTCAACCTCCCAAAGTGCTGGGATTACAGGTGTGAGCCACCCTGCCCTGCCTACTTATGAAAACTTTAATTGCATGTAAAAGAGAATAATACAATGGAACTCCATGTAAGTATCACCCAGATTTAACTCTTTTATGGAGGTTTTTTATACTTCCCTTAGCATTACATCCCAAAATGCAGTCTTTTCCAGTTCCTATTCTGTGCTTAGATATCACAATAGCAAAGCTCACTCAGGTTGTTCTAAAGATATTACAGACTCTGATCTTAGATTATTTTTCATCATTATTTAGAAAAACAGCATGTTGCTTAGCTAAAATTGCTGATGCACAACCTTACGAGTTTAGTATATTTTCTGTCTAGATTTGTCTTTGTATTAGGAGGAATTGGTCTTCCTTTTTTTTTTTTTTTTTTTTTTAAGTTTGAATTCTTCTTTACAGTCTGAAGAAGAAGTTTTAGAAGGAGAGAAGGAAGTTGAGGCTTTGAAGAAAAGTGCAGACTGGGTGTCAGACTGGTCCAGTAGACCCGAAAACATTCCACCCAAGTGAGTTCACACATATTTCTTGTCAGTGGACACAGCGGATTTGCACATGCTTACAGGCGGTGGGCCTGGTAACCCCTACGATATGTTCAGCAAGTGACATCTGCCTCTGAATTTCTTTGTCAGGGAGTTCCACTTCAGACACCCTAAACGTTCTGTGTCTCTAAGCATGAGGAAAAGTGGAGCCATGAAGAAAGGGGGTATCTTCTCCGCAGAATTTCTGAAGGTGTTCATTCCATCTCTCTTCCTTTCTCATGTTTTGGCTTTGGGGCTAGGGTAAGTACTGGTAAATTCCTGAAGTTTTTTTCATTCACTTTATCCTCATATTTTATTTTCAGATAAAAGAAACGTATGCGAAAGCAGTTTTTATTGCTTTACTTTCCTTGTTTTAGTGCAAATAAGATGAACTTAAGAATGATTAAAGTGGGTACACAGTGGTTCTACAAATAAGCATTTTTAATAACAGTAGGGTTTTTTTTTTTTTTTGCTTATTTAAAAAATAAGATGTTTGGCTGGGTGCAGTGGCTCGCGCCTATAATCCTAGCGCTTTGAGAGGCCAAGGCAGGTGGATCACCTGAGGTCAGGAGTTTGAGACCAGCCTGGCCAACATGGTGAAACCTCATCTTTACTAAAAATACAAAAATTAAATGAGCATGGTGGTGCATGCCTATAATCCCAGTTACTTGGGTGATTGAGGCAGGAGAATTGCTTCAACCCAGGAGGCGGAAGTTGCAGTGAGCCAAGATCATGCCACTGCACTCCAGTGTATGTGACAGAGCAAGACTCTGTGTCTTGCGGGGGGGAATAAAAAGGTGGTGGTAATATTAATCCCCTAGGTGATCATTTTTAAGTGAACTCTTTTGTGATTGATTTTTCTTTTTGAGTTTTGTTTTGTTTTGTTTTTTTTTTTTTTTTGAGACAGAGTTTCACTCTTGTTACCCAGGACTGCAGTGCAATGGCGCGATCTCGGCTCACCGCAACCTCCGCCTCCTGGGTTCAGGCAATTCTCCTGCCTCAGCCTCCTGAGTAGCTGGGATTACAGGCACGCGCCACCACGCCCAGCTAATTTTTTGTATTTTTAGTAGAGACGGGGTTTCACCATGTTGACCAGGATGGTCTCGATCTCTTGACCTCAGTGATCCACCCGCCTCGGCCTCCCAAAGTGCTGGGATTACAGGCTTGAGCCACCTGTGCCCAGCTTGAGTTTTGTTGTTTAATATTTAATTTTGAGTAATTTATGAAGTAAACTAATCTTTAGCATATAAATTTTGTGGTTGATAAAGTACTTTTTTTCATTTGGGAAAATACATGATTACATTGAATTGTTTTTTAATGAAACTAGTAGGTTGATTGGCGCTATTTTTTTCCTCTTTAAACTTTGTAGTATTTTCATTTTGCTAAAATCAACCTCATGTTTACCTGTAATTCATAAGTTTTTCAGCCACATGTTTTAAATAAACTGCTTTTTTTCCTTGATTTAAACAATTGAGGAATTACTTCTAAAAGATTTTAGAGATTAAACAGTAGCTGTTAATTTTTTTTTTTTTTTTTTTTTTTGAGCTGGAGTTTTGCTCTTGTTACCCAGGCTGGAGTGCAGTGGCGTGATCTCAGCTCATCACAACCTCCACTTCCCAGGTTCAAGTGATTCCCCTGCCTCAGCCTCCTGAGTAGCTGGGATTACAGGCATGCGCCACCACACCTGGCTAATTTTGTATTTTTAGTAGAGACGGAGTTTCTCCATGGTGGTCAGGCTGGTCTTGAACTCCCAACCTCAGGTGATCTGCCTGCATTGGCCTCCCAAAGTGCTGGGATTTGTGATTTTTTTCAAGACATATGTTAGGCTCTAAGCATGCCCAATGGGTCATTTTCCGTGTAAGGTATGCAGAAGGTGGGCCATCCTTTTTCTTCCCTTCAAGGAATTGGAGAGAAAATCTCTCTATTGGAGAGAGATTCTCAGTCATGACCTCAGAAATGCACATACAGCTTTCCATACACCCTTTTTGCCTCTCTCGGGTGTTTGATCTGCTTTTGTGAGGGCAAGGACAGTAAACACAAACAGCGACCTAGAAGGGGTTTGTGCAGAAGGGAGCAATGTGTGACCTTTGCATGGGGGTTAATTTGGGGCAGGAGTAGGAGTTTCGTACGTTGCTGCCTCTACAGCAGTTCATTGCCCATAGGTGGTTGGTTTCTGTACCTTGCCCTGTCTCTTTCAGTCATCTTCAGATTGTCTTGTCTTGCTTTAAGTATAGCTATTTCTATAGATGAATGTAAAAAGAGGTTTTAAAAAGTTGGTTGCTTTAATTGCACTGGAGGTGGAGCTAGTTACATATTTTCCTTAAGTTCCTTTCTAGTTTTGCTGTTGAAGGGGCCAAATACTAGCTTGGCATAAAAAAGTATCATAAGGCCCCTGATCCTTACGAGTTACTAGTAAGAGCTGTCTTTAAAGCACTGGCAGCTTTTAAGGTTTTTGGTTTTTGTTTTTTTTTTTTGGTCCTACGTAGAGCACCAAAATAATTTCACATATTAGTATAGTTTTATGTCTGAAATGTCAGTAGAACCTTCTGTCTACCAAAGAGGAACATCTCTAAGGAGGTAGGCTGCTTTATTTACTCTGTGGAGGCATCTCTTCTCCCGGGCTTTACTTTGTCTAATCACTACCCCTTGACTTTCCAGCCCCAATTTAATGAGTAATCATCTAAAACCAGTTTGACTGGGCTTGTGATTGGTTTAAGAAAGTCAGTGGTGATTTCATGGTGTTTGGGGAGCGGTGTCCATAAACCTTTAGAGCCTTTTACAAAGACTGAAGAGTTTAGAGTTTAGCCTGTGGACAAGCTGGTGCAGAACTGTTGAAACAGGTGAAACATGATGCCTCTGCTTCCTTTCAGCATCTATATTGGAAAGCGACTGAGCACACCCTCTGCCAGCACCTACTGAGGGAAAGGAAAAGCCCCTGGAAATGCGTGTGACCTGTGAAGTGGTGTATTGTCACAGTAGCTTATTTGAACTTGAGACCATTGTAAGCATGACCCAGCCTACCACCCTGTTTTTACATATCCAATTCCAGTAACTCTCAAATCCAGTATTTTATTCAAACTCTGTTGAGGCATTTTACTAACCTTACACCCTTTTTGGCCTGTAGGACATTTTAGAATTTCTTAACAGAGTTTACTGTTGTTTAGAAATTTGCAAGGGCTTCTTTTCCGCAAATGCCACCAGCAGATTATAATTTTGTCAACAATGCTATTATCTCTAATTAGTACCACCAGACTAGACCTGTATCATTCATGGTATAAATTTTACTCTTTCGACATAACTACCATTTCTCTCTTAAACTGAGATCAGGTTAGCAAATGATGTCAAAGAAGCTTTATTTTCTAGTTGGTTTTTTCCCTCAAGACAAAGACAAGTTTCCCTAAGATTGAGTTGATAGTTCTTAAAAAGAAAACAAACAAACAAAAGCAAGACACAAGGAAAAAAACATCCTGGGCAATAAAAAATTATTTTAAACCAGCTTTGGAGCCACTTTTTTGTCTAAGCCTCCTAATAGCGCCTTTTAATTTGTAGGAGGCAAGCTGTATAAATGATAGGTATGAAATAGAGTAAGAACTAAAATACATCAGCAGATTTTCATACTAGTATGTTGTAATGCTGTCTTTTCTATGGTGTAGCATCTTTCTGATAAGGAACGTCTCAGGCCTAGAAATATATGAAATTGCTTTTTGAGATTTCTGTGTGTGTGTTTGGTATTTTTTATGTTAATTAGCTGCATGTGAATTTTTCGTGACTTTCTTTAAATTTTTAAAAAATTTTTTATTTCTTTATTTTTTTCCTCTCTCTAAGAGGCTTTGGAATGAGTTCCAATTCTTGATGTTAATACAGGCTTCTTGTTTTAGGAAGCATCACCTATACTCTGAAGCCTTTAAGCTCTGAAGAGAATTGTTTCAGAGTTATTCCAAGCACTTGTGCAACTTGGAAAAGCAGACTTGGGTTGTGGGAACAGTTGACAGCATTCTGAAAAGATGCCATTTGTTTCCTTCTGATCTCTCACTGATTAAGTGTTTACTGTACAGTCTTCCCAAGGTGATTCCTGCGACTGCAGGCACTGGTCATTTTCTCATGTAGCCGTCTTCTCAGTTATGGTAAACTTCAAGTTCAGAACACTCAGCAGATTCCTTCGATGATATGCTTGTTCGTTTGTTTCTAAAATGTGAAGCTTTAGGACCAAATTGTTAGAAAGCATCAGGATGATCAGTTATCTCGAGTAGATGTTCTTGGATTTCAGAACATCTAGCATGACTCTGAAGGATACCACATGTTTTATATATAGATATTCCTGTTTATGATAGAGACGTTGCTATTGACTATTTAGAGAACCATTGTTAATTTTAAAACTAGCAATCTGTAAAGTGCATCAGGTCAACTTGAATAAAAACACTATAACAGCCAGGTTTGCCAGTTTGCAGGAACTATCTAACTCTTCTCTCTCACATCAAGGTTTGTAAAATTGATGTGTTATAGTGGAAAATAACATACAGATTATAAACAAGAAAATTTTTATCTTTTTTCAAGAACATAGCTGGCTATCTTTAAGAAAGATAATAGATCCTAAATAGTTTTCCAAGTAATTTTCTTTTTTCTTTCTAGCATTTGATGTCTAAATAATTTTGGACATCTTTTTATTAGACCATGTTTCTGTCTTACTCATAAACCTGGTCACACTTGATTTGCCTTCTATAACCTATTTATTTCAAGTGTTCATATTTCAATTTCTCTGGGAAGAAAGTAAATCTGATGGCTCACTGATTTTTGAAAAGCCTGAATAAAATTGGAAAGGCCAGAAAGTTAGGAGAACTGAATAGCTAAACTGCTACAGTATGCAGTTTGTATTAGAATTGGTATTACAGGAGGGAAAAGAAAAATTGTACTTTACATGAAAGTGACTTCTTATAGCAAGTGTGTTGTGCTCTTTCCAAGTTCAGTAGCAATTCTGTCAGTAGTGCCATTGAACCTGGGTATATTTATGATTTCTTTCTACGTTAAACATAGTGTGCCCTTTTTCTTAAATTAGCAGCGAAATTACGGAATATTACTTAAAACATGAATACATCATCACGGTAGCATTTATTATGAGAGCATGTAGTATGTTTCTATAGCCCTAACACATAGGATGAAGACTTACTTTTACTCCTACTCAGATTTGTGTTGAATGAAGACATTGTGGATTAGAAAGGAGAATTCAGCAGTTAGCAGTTGAAATTGTGAGATTTATGTTTAAAAAGCTTTACACCTGTTTACAATTTGGGAACAAAAGGCAGGCTTCATTTTTCATATGTTTGATGAAAACTGGCTTAAGCTATTTTGTAAATAGAATCAAGAGCAAAACTGCACAGACTTGCACATTGAAAAGTGCAACAAGTTCCCGTGATTGCAGTAAAAATACTTACTGTTCTAAAAATGAGAATTGAAAACTTAGCCAGTCGGATGAGTTTTTACATGAACTCGTTGTGGAAATTATCAGAATTAACTGAGCCAAAGTGATTATGCATTCTTCATCTATTTAGTTAGCACTTTGTATCGTTATATACAGTTTACAATACCTGTATAACTTGTAGCTATAAACATTTTGTGCCATTAAAGCTCTCACAAAACTTCTTCTGTCAGTATATCATTTTTCTGTCAGACGTGTTGCCTGGGAGTTTCGGGCGATGGGGCCTCCCTGCCTGCACGCAGCCTTCCAGTCATCTGGTCCCCCAGCAGTGGAGTTCCTCACAGTACTCGGGGTGTGAACGGTGTTCCTGTGGGGAAGGTCACCTCGTTTGTGAGCATTCGTGAATGCCTCAGGACTGTAGCCTTCAGAGCATTGCCTCCAGGTAGTGGTAGGAGGGTGAGTGCTCAGGAAGTGCAGGAGGGACGCGGAGTGTGCCCTGATGGGAATGGTGGTGGGGACACCTGTGAAAGTGGATCCAGAAGAAACTGAACGTTCCACGTGCCTGGAGAACAGGATGGATACGTAGAAGACTGAAAATGTAGGTTAGTACTGAACCTAATTGAAATGTGTGTGCCCTTCCAGGGGTCGCACTTTATCATGTAGTCAGTGGGATACCTTTGGGGGTTTACTTCTTTTAAATGGAGGTGATTTAAGATGTACATTTTAGACAGGCCATCTGGTGAGGAGAGAGTACCGGAGAAGATCAATCAGTTCTCTAGGCGAGGAGCTAGGTCATGCCCTGGGCTGTCACCCTGGGTTTGGTAAGGGTGGGCTTGGTAAGGGTGGCCCAGGATAGGAATGAGAAAGCGGAATTAAGCTGGTCAGAAAGTGACTTAGGAGGAAGTCATGTGTATTTGTGTGTGTGTGTATGTGTGTGTGTGTGTGTGTGTGACCTGAATACATGTATTGATGACATTAGTTAAAAGAGGACAGGAGACGAAATGGGGTGTTAGGAGCAAAGAGGGAGGATTTCAACTTTGAGAGCATTGAATAGGAAATGTCTGAGGGACTTCCGATTGCATACTTACTAGATAGAACTAGGACCCAGGAGAAAGGTCTGGAGTGGAAGTAAAACACGATCATGGCCGTGCATTATATATTGATAGGATGTTTAAAGAATGGACCATGGGCAAAGAAGAAACTTGTTCACATAACAGTGAAGCCCACATTTGAAGGTTGAGCAGAAGAGCGGCTCAGGTGAATGATAGTATCAGAGAATCCCCAAAAGTTGGAGGAGGTGACCAATCTTGACACGTTTAGTGGTTACGTAAGATGAATCAAGAAGCTTTGGAATACGGCAGTCGGATCTGTGCTGATCTTTACAAGAGCGTTTTCTGTAGGAGTGAAAGGGATCCTGGATAAGATTGTGTGAGTCAATGAGAATAAAGAAGTGTTGGCTTTTCTGAATAAACTTTATGAGGAAGAAAACAAAGGGGGCAATTTCTGAAGAGGAGACAGGATCATAGGATTGTTGGCTTAGGTTGGGAGTAGAGAGAGGGGTCAATGTGTAAACCAAGGAGAGGGAGCGAAGGGAAGTAGTACAGATAGGAGGGAGCAGATGAATAATGGAATAGTGGGACATATTCCCTCCCGGAGTGAGAGATGCGAAGTACGTTAGTCCCTCAGATGGTAGAGCGAACCCTGGAAAGAGTTTACAAAACCCAGACATTGATGACAGAAAATGAAGATGTGAGAAGGGGTGAGGAGAGATCAGTTAGAAGTAGAAAGTGAGGAAACCCCCATCTGATGTCTCCACTTTCTCTGTGTTTGAGAAGGAGGCTGGTGGTTGATGCAGGACGGAGACAGAGCTGTTTCTCATCTGGGAGGCGATGGGACTAATGCTGAAATCCTCCAAGCCTTCAAGTGAACAGGAAATGTCTGAGGGACTTCCGATTGCATACTTATTACATAGAACTAGAACCCAGGAGAAAGGTCTGGAGTGGAAGTAAAACACGATCATGGCCATGCATTATATATTGATAGGATGTTTAAAGACCTGGTGCTTCTGGCTGCACTGGGGAAGGAGCCTTCATTCCCCAGTGCAGCCAGAAGCACTGCACTGGCTGGAGCCTTCATTCCCCAGTGCAGCCAGAAGCACCAGGACTGGGTTCTGTCGCGTCGCAGCCTCGGGGGCGTGATGCCTTTGAGCTTCAGCTGTCTCCTGTGTCAAGCCGAGGGGCTGCACGAGGTGTTCTCTAAGGACATTTTAATTCTACAGTTGCTATTAGTGAATTACGGTTCAGGGTAAAAAGCAGGATTAGGAATGGGTGAATGATCTGAATGATTGCTTGAGCCCAGGAATTCGAGACCCACCTAGGCAATATAACAAGACTCCATCTGTATAAAAATTAAAAATATTAACCAGGCATGGTATTGCACACCTGTAGCTCCAGCTATATGGAAGCCGATGGAGGGAGGATTGCTTGAACCCAGGAGGTCAAGGCTGCAGTGAGTTAGGATTGCACCACTGACTTCCAGCCTGGGTGACAGAGCGACATCCTGTCTCAAAAAAACGGGAGCCAGGCGCAGTGACTCATGTTTGTAATCCTAGCACTTGGGGAGGCCAAGGCAGGAGGATTGCTTGAGCTCAGGAGTTCAAGACCAGCCCAGGCAACATGGCAAAACCCTCTCTACAAAAAAAACACAAAAAATTAGTCAGACATGGTGGCATGTGACTGTGATCGTAGGTACTCAGGGGGCTGAGATGGAAGGATCGCTTGAGCCCAGGAGGTTGAGGCTTGCAGTGAGCTGTGATTGTGCCACTCCACTCCAGCCTGGGCAACAGTGAGATCCTCTCTTTAAAAAAAAAAAAAAAAAAGGATGAATGAGGAATACACACTATGTACATGTTATAAATACTACTTTAGGTTTGGTAGTGGATCAAAATGTGTATGTTTATTTTAAAAGTCTATGTTTCTTGATAAAGATCAGGATGATGGTTCATTTATCAACAAAATACAGATTTAAAAAATCTAAATTCTGGGTTTAGGTAAGCTGAGCTTCCACATCACAAATATTTGATCTTCAGGAAACCAGTGGACCCCATTCTTAATGTTTTTGCTTTTATGTATTTCAGCCCTTGAATGATTTCTTGTACCACTGTTTCCTGAGAGGTGTGAAGTTCAGAGTATTACCATATTTATAAACTAATTGTAAAATGTCATGAAAGCTAGAGGGGGAGGAAAGAGTTTGTAAAGATTACCACGTCCTTCACCTATTACTGTTTCTGACCTAGAATGGTAGCAATACAAACTTTAAGGTCATGAGATTAGTCAGTTTATAAGCAAATAAAGAGAAAATCAGTTCTTGCCAAAGACCCCGTTTCTCCAGTTGGGAAAACAGTTCGTCAGAAGTTAATGGACAATGGCAAGTCCTATAAATAACTGAAATAACAGTCCAAGGGTTTTGAATAAGCAGTAATTGATGGTTCAACTGTTCTTAGACTTTGAAATGCCAGTTTGAAGTTTGCCCCAGTGAAATGGGCTTGGAAACTTGGTGTGAGAGAAGAGGTACTACAAATCCTACCAGAAATTATTTGGTTGACACTCGGGAAAAGATACACCTCCTCTGGGGCTTACGTCATTATTTGAAATGCTCTGCAAAAACAGAAACTCGGTCTCAGTGAATTTTACCTCCATTCCACTTACAGTGTCCTGTCCTCTCCTGCCACTCCTAGTAGAAGTAAGGAAAAATCATGGACATACTTGGTAAGGAAAGAAACAGTTTTTCGTTTTGTTTTGTTTTTTTAGACAGTCTCGCTCTATCACCCAGCTTGGAATACAATGGCACCATCTCAGCTCACTACAAGCTCTGCCTCCTGGGTTCAAGTGATTCTCATGGCTCAGCCTCCCAAGTAGCAGAGATTACAGGCACGTGCCACCGCGGCCGGCTAATTTTTTGTATTTGTAGTAGAGACGGGGCTTCACTATGTTAGGATAGTCTCGATCTACTGACCTCATGATCTGCCTGCCTCGGCCTCCCAAAGTGCTGGGATTACAGGCGTGAGCCACTGCGCCCGGCCAGCAGCAGAGTTTTTAATAAAAGCTCCAAAAGTGATTGATACACAGCCAAGATGAAGGTCACTGGTCCTCGGGTGTTGGAGAATGATGCCCACAACTGTAGTCAACTCTGATCTCTCCCGAACTCCAGACCCACGCATCCAGCCAGCTACCTGTAGGACATGGCCATTCGAACGTTCACGGGCGTTTCAAACTCTGTGCGTCAGAACTCCCCCGTCTCTTGCTTCCTCTTTTCTTCCGGGTGCCCATCTTTTTATGGTGTCTGTGAATGGCGCAAGGTGCCTTCAATTGCCCAAACCAGAAACTTGCCAATCACCTTTTTCTTTCCTTCTCCTTCCTGTCAGTCACCATGACCCGTGAATTCCACCTTCAAAACACCTCTGAGCCCCACCGACCTTTCCCACCTTGCACTCACTACCTTATTCAGGCCCTGGTTGCCTCCCTCCCAGAGCTTCCTAGCTGAGTCCTGTGGCTCTGTACTTTACTCTCAGCAGCCACAGTCATTGTCCTAAAATACAAATCATATCATGGTGTCACTTAAAATCCTTAAATGGTTCCCTAGTGTCTTGGGGACCAAGTTCAAGTTCCCAAAGTGGCTGCCAGGCTTGTGGACCTCCAGCCTCATCTGACTGTGGCTGTCCTCAGCTCACTCCACTGGAGTCAGTCTGACCTCATGCTCCTGGAACCCTGTTTTCCCTAAGCGCTGTTTTCCCTGCCAGGGATAGCCCACCCCCACCTTCATTTTTCAGGGCTCAGCTTGGCAGTCACTTCCTCTGAGAAAACTTTGTTGACATCTGCCCCACGTGCCTCCCCTACCTGGGCTAAGCGCCTCTCCTGTGATCTCTCACAACACCTGGCACTTCCCCCGTGGTGGCCCCAGTCACCCTGGATGAGAACTGTCTTTGTCTGGCTCTTTTGTATCGAGTTCCTCTAGGTAAGTGCTGTGTCTTGCTCACTGTATCCCAGAATTGGCCCCAGGCTTGTCACATAAGGCATGCTAAAAATATCTATTGAAAATTAATGGCCATGCACAGTGGCTCACGACTATAATCCCAGCACTTACGGAGGCCAAGGTGGGAGGATCGCTTGAGGCCAGGAGTTTGAGGCCAGCTTGAGCAACATGATGAGACCCCAT